GCAAGGACGCTAGTAGGAGCAAAGGGCATCGCTACTAGGAGCAAGGACGGTACTAGGAGCAAACATTCCTTAGCACAAGGTCCCCCAAATTCAGACGCTTCCGAGGGCGCCACCAGAGAGGTCGCCGGCTGCTCCGAGGGCATCGGCTCGGCCACGGGTCCGGGTCCGGGCTGTGGCGCGAAGAAGTGCTGCGGCTGAGGACCCTCGAAGTACGCCGACATCGGGGAGAGACCCATGCCCTCAGCGAGCAGAGCGGGGAACACAGAGCGATGCCAAACGCTCCAATGACATCTTGTCTGAGAAGAACTCTAGCACACTATTCCTAGGCGAAGACAATGATTTCGTTCTTAAGAAGTTTCTTTCGATGCACTCGTGATGCAAAGAATTCATGATAATTCATGCTTTAGCAAGGACGCTACTAGGTGGAGGCCATCTCTAGTAGGTTGGAGGCCATTACTACTAGTAACAAAGGACGCTACTAGGGGCTCCTGGCCTTACTAGTAACAATATAAATTAAGATTAAGTTAAATTAATAGCGTCCTTGTTACTACTAGTAAGGCACCTGTTACTACTAGCGTGGCACTTGCTACTAGTAACAAGGACGCTACTAGATGATTCACTTCTTTAGACATGCTACTAGGAGCAAGGGCCTTACTAGTAACAAGAAGCTAGTAGAAACAATATATAAATTAGAATCAAATTGAAATTTAAACAATATATCTAATTTATATATTTGTTTCTACTTAATTAAATTCAAATTAAAACAAATTAAAGCAATAAAATTCACTTCTTTAGACAAAGTCGGCATGCAATCACTGTCTTCGCAAGTCGGCATCGTGGGCTGAGTCTCCGGGCACCGTTGAAGTAGGCCTCCGACAGACTTGAGCATTCATCCAGAAAATAGATCGGTGTTGCTTTTTGGAGACCCAGTTCCAGAAGCACTCGGCATGTTGTGGCCTCTTGGCACAAGCAAAGTACATAAACCTAGTAGCGTCCTTATTGCTACTAGTAACAAGTGCCACGCTAGTAGTAACAGGAGCCTTACTAGTAGTAACAAAAAGCTAGTAGTCCTCACAGACCGGTTTCCCCCTTTCCGGCCTCGCATGGAGATTGTCCACCAGGGGAGCGCAGGGAGCGAGGTGTGGTGTCGGTGGACCTACGTGGACGACACCACGCGGTGACGTCAACCGAGTAGTAACAGGTGCCACGCTACTAGTAACAAGAAGCTAGTAGTAACAAGTGCCTTACTAGTAGTAACAAGAAGCTATTAGAAACAGGTGCCACGCTAGTAGTA